AGTTTATAAAAATATTTAGAAATTAAATATACATGTCTTAATATCTTTTGTCGGGGAATAATATTTTTAAAACGTTCTGTTAAATAACTCTTAAACTAATGAGCTACTTTTTTAATTTTTATTATGTTAGCAAAAAAACATTAAAAATGTTGTCTGGCATATATTTTCTGGTAACCTAAATCAGTTTTGGATGTGTGGGCCATACTCATTTTTTTATACCTAATTGGTTATAAATGTTTACATTTATAAAAATAGCTATACTTATTTGATTTTGATAAAATTAATATGCTCATAAGATAAAATTAGTTGTTTATAAGTAATATAAAATAAAAAAAAATTCTTGGGTAGTTTGTTTTCATGTATAATCATTTCGTACCAAACAAATTCAACAAATATGATATTTTATTTTTACTGGTTTGTACTTGTTGTTCCTGTAATATTTCATTAAATTAAAATAACATTTTTAGACAGTAGAACATCGATTATCCAAATTTCTGTAATACTAACACTCTATTATTCGACCTACAATTAGCGTATTTGAACGGTCTGTCATCCGAACGTTAATACACGTAGAAGTATTCGTATCGATAATTTTCTAAAAAAATAAAATAAACATAATATGTTCCTATGTATGTAATATATTTTTAATAGTGTAATGTATGTATTTTTAATAAAATATTAATAATAATAATACATGTTTAATATAAATATATTTAACTTTTTTTTTTTAAATTTGTTTATTGTATTTTTTTTTTTTTTTTTTTTTTATTTTTTTTTTTTTTTAATTTCTAATATCCGAATTAGAGGCGGTCCTAATTAGTTCGTATAATTGAGATTCTACTGTACTTTTAAATTATTTATCTTTTAGTTTTTCTTAAAAAAATTGTATTTATTATTTTAATTAAGATTTAATTTAACTATTTTTGAGACATATCACTTAAATAAGAAAATTATTATAAATTTAAAAAAAAAATGAACCTGGAGAAATAATTACAGTAGGTGAATTGATGATACCTGTTTGTAATAGAATATATGAATTTTAATAGTATAAAACAAAAAGCATAAATATATTGTGAAATTTTTCGAAGTATGGAGATCTAATGGATATACTATACTTAAATAAAATTATTATATATGAAGGAAAACAATCTAAACACAGACAAGCGCTCTGTAAAACAATATTCATTTCTTTGTGTGTGAAAATCATTTGAATGAATGACATACACTTATGTTTTGTGACTGATAATTTGTATATATATGTTCCACTAGCAAAACAAATTTTGTATCAAAACACCGTTTTGGTTGGTACGCTAAGAAAAAAATCATGATTTTACTAAAAAAAAGTTGTAGAAAAATATTTAAAAAAAGCAAATTTTTTGATCTTGAAAATAAGTCTTTAAGTTTAATTATTACTAAAGTAACATTTGCTTACATTTAATAGGACGCTATACCTGTGTGTAATGTTTTCATCTTACACATATAAAACATAGCAAATTTTCGCTCAGCAGAATTTATTTTATTTTGTTAACTTTTAATATTAGTGTAAATTTACCTACAGTAAGAATATCGTCTAGGGTATCACGTAGTCTTTTTTTATATTATAATTTTAAAGTAGGTTATGAGCAATTTAAAGCTGTCATATTTTACATAATTATAATTCACTTTAAAATTATAATATAATTTAAAAAGTCTATGAGATGGCTTAAACAATATTTTTATTTTTAAGTTTGATAATAGATAAATACTAAATTTACTCCAATATTAAAGCTAACTAAATAAGATGATAGCTATGGTGGTTTAAAAAAAACCAAAGTTATTCATATTATTAATATATTCTTAACAATTTACGACTAATAGTTTTCGGAGTATAAAATAAATAATAGACTCAAATGCAATGTATATGTATTTTAAATTTAATAACTGAAATGTTATGATTCAAAAAATATTTGTTCAAATGTGTGTTTAGTTGCATCAACGTTAAAAAAAAAAAAAACATTTCTTAACAATGCATAAAAATAAAAATAAAAAGGATGGTTTCTATTGAAACATAAATAATGGTTGATCGTCACAAAAAATAAAACACTCATAGTCATAAATTGGGTTTAACTTATAAAAATACAGTTTTTAAGTAGGCATACTTTAGAATTTCAAAACTTTAATTTTTAAGAAATTATATGTTGGAGATAAATAAGGTGTTGGGTATGTTTGATAAATTACTCATAGTAATATAATTATTGTAACACCACGTGGACGAAAGACAAGTTATATAGATACTCACCGAAATCTACATACCTAATGTACTTAGCACTTTACTGCGAAACGCGTTTATTGTATTGATAGAGTTAAACAAAGGCATCCTCGTTGGACCACATGTTATACTATATACCTTCTTGCCAGTAAGGATACGTATAAACTATTTCAGCATTGTTATTAGGAATTTAATCATAATAATAACTGAAAAATAGATGATAATGCAGTAACAAATGTTTTAATACATGTCACACAAAGTCCAAAATACGCTTAAAAATATACCTTATAATAAAGAACTTCATATCAAGTGGAGCATTGATAAATTAAGAATACTTTTTAATAATAATAAAAAAAAAAAAAAAATAATAATAAAATAAAATAATTTCTGTGAGCAGATTTCTCTTATTCTTAAAACCATTATTTTAGTGAAATGTTCTTATATTTAACAATGGAATTGTATTATCATGTTCTTTAAATTTGTTCATTAGGTAACCAAAGGTTATTCCTCTTTATGTTTCATTACGATTAGAATACATATTTTTAGTTATCGTGAGGAGTTGAAACAGATAAAAAAATATGTATATTATTGAATTGTGCTTTTATAATAATTAGAAATTAATTAAAATTTCCAATTAAAATATTTAATAAGAAACACTGCATATTGATAAGGAAAATAATCACACTATTTTTATTGTGTTAAATCATTCAACTGTATACTATAATTTTTTATTTTATTAATTATAAAGAACAAAATAAACTCCTAATTTTTTATTTAGGCAATTCTATGGTTAATGTACAGCATTTTAAACTAGTTTCGTATCATAGGCGTACACAGACTTCTGAGTCAGGTATGGCTAAATCAATCTGACCACCCACATTCCCTCAATCACGGTTATTCAAGAAACAAATTATGCCTATGAGTAACTAGTAGGTCTCTTTTAATCGTGTAAATATCTATGATTTTGATTTATTTTGTTGTAAATTTTGTATAGCTATAGCGCTTTATTAGTTATTACTTTTTTAAATACCAAGTACCTACCCACTTATAAAAGGCTCAGATGGGGCTAAAGCCCAATCAGTCCTACCCGTGCGCATACCTATGTTTTGAATACAGTTATAAAATATTGTGATGTATTAAAACATTAAAAATATTCATGAAATATTCCTTTGAGTTTTAAATCGTATAAAATATACTTAATATACAAAATATCATGTCATGGTAGTATTTTCACGTTCATGTAGAATCTACATTGTAGATTATTAGGAAATAGGAATACATATCATGGGACGGTAAAGAAAAAATATCAATCTTCAAAATAAAAAAATAATACTTTCTAATTTGATAATGGACAAATCAAAGTCGATCGAAAACTAGAGATATGGTCATAGTAGTGTGCTACACAGCCAACATCTGTTGGATTTTTAAGTGACTATGATTTATGAAGCATCACAATATATATTTAAATCATGAATATAGTTTAGAATAATTTAACCTAACCTAACCATGCATATATATATAATATATATATCATATAATCATACAATTTTTATAATATTTATATTAAATCAATATTTAAAGTTGTGAAAACTATCTACAGTGTTTATTTGCGTATTAAAATGTTTATTTTTGGCAGAATACGAGTTCATTTTATGAAAACGTATACACTTGATGTTTTTTAGCCTTTGTAAAGAATTCGATTTCACTAAATGACTATGCGATATAAAATATATAAGTAAATTGAATATATCGAGTAACGTGTAATATAATATTTTATTTTTGACGTTGAACGAACATTGCACTGTTTAATAGAATATTACGCAGAACAATATTGTATCATTTACCCAGCGGTATTGCGAGAAATATTGAGAAACTATAAAGCTATAGTAATAAACTTTTATAAAATTTGAACATTTTTTGTATTTTCTTATAAATTGTCATAAATTTCTTGATGAATCGGTTAATCTAGGTCACCAATCATACTTTTTATTATTTATTTATTTTTTATATTAGATTTAAATCCAAATACTTACTTTTCTATAGTTTCTGTCTTGCCGCAACTCGTAAAATTGTCTTGAGGTATTTAATAACACTCGTTATTATTTTTTTTTAAGAATATAAAAACCTATTTTTACTACTTAACTCACTAGTTTTTTTAACATTTGAGTAATTGACACATTATTATTATTTTATTCTACTTGTTGTGTGTATTTCTGATAATTTAAATACATATTATAATTCATTAAACATTATAAAAAGTGCTACTTTAAATTTATTATTAATTTAATATGCAAAATAAACTCGTTTAAAAACATTATAAATCAAGATAAATATATTATTATAAAGTGTCAGCTGATAAAAAGTCCTTCAGTATGGTGATGCACTAACTTGTTTAATAACATTTAAAACAATTATTATTACCTACAAGAAATACATTGTTTGATGTTCAATAAATTTATTTATATATATTATACTACACGATATTATATTAAAACACGAGTGGATTTTAAGAAACAGTAAAAAACATTAGTGCTTCAACGTTTTTTTTTTAAATGTTTAATTTGTAACGCAACCACTCTACGTGTTCCTCTTATCGAGTTTTTACGATTTAAGTACATATAATTGATACATGATACATAGGAAACATATTATGATAAATAATTCAAAATCATTTAAAAACATCAATTAATTGATTTTTATTTCAGAAAAAACTTAAATAAAACACAAACATTAAATAATGTATATAGTCGTATATATGTATTATATAATATATACTGTTATACAATTAAACGATTTCTTGGAAAATACAATATTGCGGTTTGATCCTATATTAAATATTTAAATCGTAATACAGTATAATATTTTTGCAATAACGTATTATTATGTTTATATCGTATGATTTTTGGTATAGAGAAATGTATGGTTTTTCGTATTTATTTTTATTACAGAAAATGGATAAGGTGGGTGATAGATGGGAGGCGAAAGCTTGCTATCGCTTCAGCGCTTGGCCTTGCTTTAGTTCAATCACGCTGTGAAAGAGAAGAAAACATTTTGAACAAATAATTAATATACTTTAGATTGGTATGGTTGAGTAGAATCAAGTTCAATCCACGCGACCTTCGAGGCATCCGCTCCGATACAAACATAATAACATCGCAAATGATCGACCGTGTTCATATATATTACAATCATAATATATAAAATCATTACTCTTGTAGAATATTTATCAAATACATCGACAATAATGACAAAATTATATCGTCTATTACAACATGACGTAATAATAATAATGTCGGGGTGTTTGGCTATTGTGTGTAAGAATCGTAAAGCTATCTTAATAGTGATGGTGCTATTCGATTGACTAAATAGGCAATCAATACGCACACACGTCCGGTAGTGAAACGATCAGCTGAACTCGCCTGCGGTCCACCTAAAAACGTTACACAAGGTGTAAGTACATGAAATAAAAATAAAATTAATAAATATATAAATCGATACACGGGCAACCATTTTAATTTATCTATTGATATCCGCAATAATATTGAGCCGATACACCGTGTGTAGGAATCGAAATAAATGTATTTTTTTTAATTAATCTCAATAATATTAAGAGTTAAGTATATTATAATATAATCATATTTAACCGTAAAAACTAGACAGTCATTATTAAAAAAGAGGAAAGAAAATTAAAGGTTTTCGTGTTTGTGGTTCTATTATAAAAATATTTTGACACGAAAAGTTTGGGATTGTATCAAAGTCAGAAGGTACAAATTAGTAGGTCATTTACTGTTCCACGATGTCTTACAATAAACATCACATTATAAGACTGTATTAGAAAATTAAGTTAAATAATGGAGTAAATGAAACAAATCTTGATAAACACGAGTAAAAAAATAATTACTCAAAATCAAAAGAATTAAAAAACAAAATAGAAGCTTAGAAAAATGCAGCATATCAAAAACGTGATTTAAGATACATAGAACAAGAAGGAGGTATATGAAAGCGATCTACACATATTATATGTAGACCGTCCGACTTATGTTAACAGTTTTTGGTTCACATTTATTTCATCGAAATTCTAGTTTATTTCATCGACAAATTAACGGGTTTTATAATATTTTGAAAAACTTGTTATTTCATCAGTATTTAAGTTTATGGGTGTTTTAGCTAATTTATCAATAAATGTTTTCAATTTACCAATTAATTACAATAGCACTAAAAAAAAAAAACTTTTACAAAATTGTTGTAAAGAACAATAACATTAAGTTGAATGATTAAAATGTTTTTCCACACACCTTGAAGATTGAAGAAACACAAACAATTGATCGCTACTAAAAGATTGGTATGAAGCTTAAAATTGATTGAAATATATGAAATTTTGCCAACTTAAAAAGAGATTAGCAAATTTAGATGATAGATAAAATATTAAAAATGATTCCTTCAAGATATAAAATGTAATAACCTTTTATTTTTTTTTTTCTACAAATTTCAGGCTTAAACAGCATTGGTTATTAGCCTGTAGTTAGTTTTTACTTTGTGGGAGAGTATGTTTTAGAATACATGTATATGTGGCGAGGATTTTTCACTAAAAACCCGTGTGGTCTCCTAAGGAGCAGCGAACTAGTGATACCAGTTGATGTTTGAATTTTTAACACGTACAGATCACATATACACTTTTATTTATTTTCAATAATTATTCATATTGTTTATAAATGTTATATTATTTTAATTTTAATAAAATAATAAGTATACAAAATTAATTAAGTAGAAATATTTAAAAATAATTTTATGTACACGAAGAAAATAACCTAATGCATTTCAGTACAACGACTATTTTCGTTAAAATCGAATGATTGCATTGAAATTTGGATATTCTTACGTTAGCAAAAATTTAGATGAAACACAAAAAAACAAGTTAAATTTGGTTTTAAACAACATGTATTTTTAGACAAAATGATCAACTAATTATTAAAAATTAAATAAAAATAAAAAAACAAAGCTATCTCAAAAACTTCCGAGAACTTATCTTTGTTCTTTGTTGCCTTTTGGTGGGAGGAGGAGAGTTGTGGTCCATGGACTTCCGATTATTACGAACCTCAGTCTTACAGTACAATATTTAATCCAATAATTAAAAAAAAAAAAGTATTTGTGCATATCGAGTATTGATTTGTATTATATATTGGAATTTAAATATTGGTATCATTCAATTATATTGATAATATAATAATAATAATAATAATAATAACTTATTATATAATATGATCTAATTTAGTACAGTTAATAAATTGATTTAAAAACTACAGTATGATTATCTCATTTATTACAACAGACTTTCATCTCTCAAAAGTGTGGTAGTTGGTCGTACAAAGGAGGTAGAACGTATACCACTTACCCGGTCTTGGCACTGTAGTGGGACTAATCATCTGGGCCAATCTGGGCGAGTCATCCATCAGCTCAATAACTGAATACTTTTTGTACAACAGAAATTGATTGGACTCACAACGGACCGTCATCCGACCACCTGGAAAGTACGCGCCGTGGGTTGTAAGCTCTAGTCGTGATCTGCTGGTTTGTAGCCCGTCATCTTCGGCTGTAACCCAAGTCGTCGTCTTGGCGAATTTTGTTGAATTTGTTACCTGCAATTAAATCACAATCTTAAATCAAATTTTCTATATTTTATTTTAATAACATTTTCTTTTTAATATTATCACTCTTTGTAGTTTTTACTACATTTTACTTTCGTTTAAATATCATAGTAATGTATAAGTGATATAATATTATATTTTAAAAGCAAAAACGTTAACATTTTCAACCACTCGTTGTCGTTAAAAATAAAAAAAAAGACGTTAATCGTTTTATGGCTCTTGAGATGGACTTATAACAAAACAAAAAAATTCTGTGCACTTATATAACAATATATAATGCGTATAATCAAAATCAGCTCCCTATATACAAGTGCGAAAACGGAAGAGGGTGCGAGACAGCCATAATTCAAACAGAATAAAAACTAACGAAAACAAAACATTTCAAGTAAAGCATAACTTTAGTAGTTTCAGTTTATGAAATTTTAGAAAATATTGCACACAACGAAAAACTAACGCCAATATTGATTAAAAAAAAAAAAGTTAAAAATAATAAAAAAATTATTTTAAGAAAAGAAAAGAAAAATTACGTAAAGGTTTAAGATTTGTGATACCGTGAAAAAAATAAATCAATTTTTATGTAGTGATCCGTATTAGGAAATGGCGGAGGTAAAACTTTAAAAGTTTAAATTTTGTTCATAGTATGTGATGACGGTGCAATATTCCATTCTGGAAGTTTCGAATAAAATGTATTTACAATACTAAAATCATGGAGCTTTTCTTTAATATACACATACATTGCAGTAAATCGAATCTTCTGATAATATTTTAAATGAAATTATTTTTTCAAATTCTCAGTAGTGATTTTAAGAAGATAGTAGAAAATATGAATCTCGATTATTCGGAAATCGTATGATTAAATGGGTAGTTAAGTGTTTTGACGTATACATTTGATGAGAAAATTATGGTCTTTTTTTTATATGTAAAACGTCCTCGTATTTATAAGTCAAACACTAGACCTAGTCATAGTTTTTATTTGAAAATATTCGTCTTGATTATATTATATAGATAAATAGTGAAAATACGACTAATGATGAAAATTTGAATGAATTAATGTCAATAAAAAAAAAAAATAAAAAAATAATACTTTAAAATTATAAAACAATATAATTCAATAAAATAAATAGTTTATCTAATAATATATAAGTACAAAACCTTGTATGTGGAAAATAAGATGTTATAATTTGTTTTAATAATTTAATCTTTTAACCGATATTTATTTATAAGTAATAAAAATAAGATAAGATATACAACGAAAAAATAAAAACAAAATATGAAAAATATATCATATTCTTGTAGATATACAAATGTATAATAATAAGTATGTCAATAAAAATGTATTAGAGCTGTTAAATTAACATTAAAATATACAACATTGCACTTAAATGAAATTAAGAAACATAGAATGGAGTATGTATCATGTGTGTAAACTTTTAAAATTAAGATGATAATATAAAATATTAAGTTTTAAAAGATTAAGACGAGAGATGAAACAAACATTTGTTGTTAATAATTGAAAACTGTTAAATCTTAACAGTAGCAACTTTTTTATCATAGAATTTATAGTTTTTTTTTTTTTTATCAAAGAATAACAATAACTCTGTGAATATACATTGATATCAAATATTGTATTCTATTTAATAATAAATTATAAACAACCAATTCAGTTTAACAATAATAGTTCCGTTTTAAAATATTGGGATGATTACATTTACATGAACTAATGGCTATTATATTTATTTTGACATGAATACCATTTTTCTATTGTAATATTTTTTAATTAGTTTATAATATTTTAAGTTAAAATTATAAACTAGTCATATCAAAAAAAAAAAAAAAAAAATGAAAAAATATTTATTTAAATATGCGTTATATATATTTGTGTTCAAGGAATGATTCTATTTCCTCCACCCTCCGGGTTTAACCAGATATAGTAATTTCTTATTGTGTGCAATAATAATTTAATGTAACAAATAAATTTCTAGATATTTCAATTATAAAACTACAAAACATGCTTAGTAGTATAATCTTTATTTATTTGATATTCATTAAATTCGAATTTTTATTTAAACTTGAATTTATTACTACTAGTTATCTATAACTATATAATTGTCCTTAATTTAAAAACACCTTTAAATATTAATGTTCTGTATTCCAATAGTTTTAAACGGAATGTTTAAAACGAAACGTTTCATAAAAATTCAACCAAATAACACATTTACACTGCAAGCGTCAAAAGGAGATTGAGACAGATGAGTCTCTATAATGTGTTACGATAAATATTATATTGAGTTCACGATTTTTGGTGTGTGCGCATAATATAATATACATCGCGCAGTCAGTTTTAGGATAATTATTACTGTAATATGTGTTGTTCGCGCCAACATTAGAATAACAATTAGTTCGCGGGTTTAAAAAAAAAAATCCTACTCGCGTTATAGTATAATATATGCGCGTGTACACGATAATAATAATAATAAAAAAAAAATATGAATGCGTTTTTTGTACAAAAACGTTTCGTATAATATTTAAGCTCCCATTATTATTATATTATTCGAGAATATTTTTTATGATTCACGATAGGAAGAAAAAAAACATAAAAATACTATTATTATGTCCCTATAACCGTGGTACACACACGTATTATGGGTAATTTATTCCGAAATGTTTTACAATGGTTTGTCCGGGTACCCCAAACGTTGCCCGAGCTTTTTCTCTTTTTAGTGTAATGACTTCCTTCAATTGCGACGACCATGATACTATATATATTTATATATACGTATTATATACACGTAGGTATGTATAGTTACTTATAATAATATTATACATACCTATACAATAAATTATACATATATAATGTAAGCCGTACACAGTCTTGCGGGCAATTTTAATCAAAAGTCTATGATTTTTTCATAAGAAAAACACTCTTTTATATTAATGAAGTGCGTAATATAGTTGCGAGGTAAATAAAGGTACATGTTTTACGATAAGACGGTCGAATTTCGAGTCTTTTAAACTATGTTATAATTTTATTTATTAGATACCTAACTAAAATCATAATTTATTATTATTATTATTTATATCGCACCAAAACTAAAATATAAAACGTCAATGGATGATTTTTGATTTTACGTAGTCTCACTCCATCTAACAACAATATAGCAGTACAATAATAATGTTTTGCAGATTATATATTTTTGAAGATGTTTAGCGTGTGCGTCATATTTTCCATATCGTATAATAATTATAATTTGCGATCCATTAAACTGGCCACACTGATTTACCAGTTCAATTATTCTTTTGAAAAAAATATTTATCCTTAGTTTAAATACATAATGTCTAGTAGAAAAGTATTTATGAGAAAACATCTTAAACAAACTTCTTTTTATCATAGAAATTTCTACAAGTATTTTTTTTTAATACCTATTATTTATATTTTTAATATTCTATCAGGAACAATACTTATCTACAGACTTAAATCGTTTGATATATTAATTATTTTAACCAGTTATCAAGTAAATAGTATTTTATTAATATATATATATATATTAAACTTTAGATGATGGGATCTACAACTTTAGCACGAAATCCATTTACAGGGTCTCCATTTTACTATGCTTGTGTAAACTTCAAACATTCGAATATTGATAAAACGCTGTTTACTTGGTATTATATGTTAGGATATATCAACAAGCTTCTGGTTATAAAATTAAAAATATTTAACGTGTCTAACAAATAAAAATTTGAATTGCCTGACAAGTGGAAATCTATAACGATATCAAATACTTTAAAATTAAAATATATAAACATAACTAAAAATGGATTATATCATGCAATAATAAAAAACATTAATAACACCAATATTGTAATAAACTTGTTTATATCATGTCATAAATATATATGTATATATTATTTGTAGAATTGGGGAGTGGCCGGATTTCACGTAATAATAATAATAACGTGTAACGGATACGGATGAGTTGCACCGTTGTTCCGGCGACGGATCAATGTGTTAAATATTTACTCATAGGAGCCAGTAGAGTGCAACCAAACGAGAAACGATTTATTAAACGTAGAGGGACACCGGAAGCGAACGTTGTACGAGTATTTTTGCGTGTAAAATGCGTTAAATAACGATGACGTTAAATATTCCGTTTTACCCATATATCGCGATACCGCAAAGTAGAACTTTTTGACAAATAAAACAAGATCTTTTTTCAAAGCTTTTTCCTGTACACATCACTGAGAAAGGATAGATATTCAATGGAAATTTATAGATGAAAATGTATTTAAGACTTGTAATATTTCATTTGCAACAGATTAATCGATTAAAACTGTTTATCGGTAGTTTTTATATTTGTATAAATTATAAAAACAAAAACGAAATAATTTAAAAGTTTTTGTTTTTTTAATTAAAATTCTTTAGTGATATTATGATTTAACAATTCTTCAATAGAATCTCCCTAAAAAAGAAAGAATTGAACGATAATCTATGTATTTTAGTTACGATTTTTTATGTTTTATATTATTATTTGAAGAAATAAAAAGCACAACAAATAAATCGTATTATGTTACAAGAAAAAATGAATTATAATACATTTATTAAATTAATTTTACCTAAATAACTTGTTAGGGTTTTCCCATACATATCCGTATCCCATCACTAAAAGTAGCACTGACTAATGACTATACTTTGTTTTATCAGTGGGCACAAACATGTCATATTGAATATAATTTTGTTAAGCTAAATCTGAATATTATTTAAAATTTAAGTAATATTTTTTGTAATATATTTTTTTTTTCTCTAAACTGGGATTCTAAAAAGATCAATGACGAACAACAGGTTAATGATAAAACTTTTTTTTGTGTGACAAAAAAATACAGAATTAATATATAATACTAATTATTTTACAGTTATGGTTTTATTTGTGTTATTTTGGGTTCCAAGATATAATGTAGGTTATAAATTACTTTGAAGATATATATATACGTAAATGTAATCGAGTTGTTGCACTTTCATTTCATTAAAAAAAATAATGTTAATATACTGTCTATTTTTTAAAAACTGACAGGCGTACTGGGAGTAGTAACGTTGAATTTGATTAATCGTTTTAACGCTTAACCGTCGCATTTGATACGGTCGACTGTTACTGTGCAGCCTGTATATAGACCTTTAAACTAATATAATTATAATTACAATATTCTAAATAATATCCCACTTTTTTTTTTTTTAATTTACTTGCAAAAGTATTGAATTGGTTGACGGTTGTCGTCAAATTAAGAATAGTGAATCGGAATCATGATGTTTGTTTTTTAGTTTATTTCATACATTTATTATAATTCAATTAATTTTATAGTATATAACGAGTTAGGGTTAAACTTGCATTTAAAGAAACGTATTTTTTTCTGACAAAAACTACAAATAGCAACTATTAACAAATTCAAAGTAATCAAAATATGTGTTTAAAAATTGCTTTTATCCAATATTTAAGTGAGTATTAAGCTGCTGAAGTGAAAGTACCAGGTGGTATCTAATTGTTCATTATAATGGGATATGTTAAATTTTATAGATATAATTTTTTGTATACATAAGATAATTCTGAGCGGAGAAAGTTTGGTCGGCCAATATCACAAATCATATTTTATAATATATTTTTTAATACTGATATTTAAGTAATTTATATTATTATTATTATTATTATTACGAAAGGTTAATATAACTTTTGACGAAAACATTGTATTTATAAATATTGCTAATATTGATTTATATTGTATTATAATTAATTTTTGAGTAGAATCCATCTTACTGACTACTTATGATGAACTCTGTATTACATTTTTAATAAAATATTCAATTATTTTTGCTATATTAATTTGATATTTTACACGTTATCAGCATGAAAACAATTTTCATGTTTTCGTAATTTTGATGATTTTTGTTAAAATTTGAAATTAGTATGCTCATACTATATCTTTATCACTTAAATATTTTATTTATATTACTAGTCTTTTATTTTACCTTTTTATCATTTATGAACCATGTGAGATTGGTGGCTGGGAATGCCGAGTAAGAAGTGCAATTTATTTTTACCGGTTCGTCCTTGATGTATTTGAGTTTACCAGCAAACATGAGTGGTTGTGTCTGTGGTTCTTCTGCAAAATCAAACATGGCATTAAACGAAAAATTCATCATTTCCGAGTTGTTAAAATTATATAGCGCATTTTAATGTAAAAACATCATCCTTATGATCTTTATTGTTAGTTCTTTATTTTTTTTTTTTTTTTTTTTATCCTATTTAGGTAATTAATAATAGTAAGAAATTATTAAACTAAAATATGTATGCAATAAATAAGTAAAAAATAAAAATAAAAAACAGTTCATAAGTCTTGATTATTAGTGTAACATATATCAACAGACAACAATACTACTGGTTTAGATTTCTGAAAAAGTTAAATAATAGTGATAGTTAGGTTTGTTCCGAGATTTTTAAAAATTGTACAGTTCTAACATCAGTATTTTCATTATAGGAATTCTAATTTGACATTGTATTAATATACAAAAAATAGAACTTACCAATTATAGTTATGTATGACTCTTTGATTTGCGTATGAAAAAGTGGAGCGTCCGTGGAAACTTCGCATTTATAGTGACCTGACATGTCCCGAGGCAGGTTAGTCAGTGTGACTGAGTGGTCATCTGATTCGGATATCTAAATACGTGCATTTAAAAAAAAAATCGATTTGTAATACTTCAACCTCGAAAACGAATCGGTGTAAAATTCTACGTTCAAATTAATAGAAACAGGTACCTAGTCTTGCACTAGCAAAACAAAAATTATTATTATTATTATTATCCATACCGAGAGATAAATAATATGATAACAGTACGTAAGGTTTATATGTTCATGATTAGGGCTCGGGTTTTGTAGCAAATGTTTCTTTTAAAGGGAGTGTCATAAGAAGATTATTACTATACATAAATACGTTTTGAATCGTTCTGATTTAATGAAGTAAACTTTTTTTTTGCTTTTTTCCACAAATCTGCTTTTTCCCTATTTGCTTCTTATTTTTTAATTTTTACTTATTTTTTTTAAAAATTTAATTTATTTATAAGTTATTGACTAAAAATACTATATTATTATTGTTGCTAGAAATTATAAAACCAGTGAAATAACCAGTAATAAATGGATGAATGATAAAATAACTATATTTTTGTTATTGCTCCCCTTTATCCTCGAATTTTAAATTTTAAATGAACAATTTTTCGATTCATTTGAATTGAGTTGGGATAAAAGTGGACCAACATTTCTATTTTGTTTAGGTATTTATAAAATAAGTTCATATAATTTATATTCAAAGGTTATAATACATATAAATATAATATACTAATCGGTGTTTGTATCTGTTTACAATTTGACTATTGAAAAAAAAGGTTGAGGTCCGGCTAATAAATTGAATTTAAAATTTCACAAAAAAAGACAAAAATGGAAGGCATTTTGTTAGTCGTGTTGAAAGATTCACAAGAATAATATCATATAACATTATTATCACGCACACGGAAAATAACCCAAAACGGCCGTAACTGAAGGTTCACGTATAAACGTCCTTAGGGGACTGTATATGAGATGGATAAACTTTGCTGTTATTCGTGTCGAGTCAAACATTCATTCTTCCGAGGGACCAAAGTTTCATTCGTTGTTCGCTATTATATAATTTACGATTATTATACATAGTTATTGTATACATATATGTACTCGTATAATTCTTAAGTTATATAAATCAATTTACGCGTTAGTGTGATCATTATTGTTATACTGAATTACGCTTATTAATTTAGCATTATCATCCGAAATGTCACCTGTGTTTTTAAAAAGTAAAATTTTGATGAGTGTGGTCGTATATTTAGGTCTATTGATTTATAGATTTATAATAGGTCATCAGTGATAAAATTATTGGAAAGAATTTTGGAAACTAAATACCGAGGCTATTAATTAATAGCAAAGCAGTAATGTGTACATAATATTAATTTTAAGCCGTGATGACAGAATATGACGTATACTCGAATTTATTAGGTATTTACCTACATTAGTTTAACATTTAACTAACTGATTTAAATATTGATGTAAGCATTATTTAAATGAGAAGTTTTTTCGTTTTTTGAATGTCAATGACTTTTGAATATTTTTTTTAATCAACTAACCGTCCTTTTCTCAATATAGTCTTAGTTTTATACGATCAGCATGATTGATTTATTTAATCGTTATAAATCAAGTAATAATTAATATTTTAATACGATCTCTTTTTTTCTAGTTTTCAGGACTTATTTACTAGTTCTGTTTTAAATTTTTTTTTTATTATTACATTATTCTTGTATTTTACAAAAAAAATTATTTTTTAAATAGAACAGATTTTACGTACACAGCTTGATTAAATGTACAAAATATAACATCGTTAAAAATATTTAGATTATAATCTGTATTATAATATTACACTTACATCAACCGAAGTGGTACCAGAAAGCGGGAAAACCCTGGTTGGTGGTGACTCTTTTGGTACATATCTGTAAAATTCTTGATCGCCAAAGTACCATTTTATTGAATACAGTGGCACACCCTCAAGGTCATAGTCACAAGAAAGACGCAATAACTCGCCTGCTCGGATAGCTTCGGGGTTCCAAATTCGAACACCTTTCAGACCAAACACTGCGTCTGTAAACGAGAAAAAAAAACCAACGATGATGAAATATTAATTATAAATTGTACTTTATCATCTTAAACTAATTATTTTGTCATAATCTACATTATATAATTTTGCTTAGGAATTTTCTATTTAATTATCCATTGAATATGCCGATGACAGTAATTATAACATCAATTTTTACGTGTAAACATATTAAGTGTCTACTAAAATACGGAAAACTCTATAAATAATTCGTAGAACATTAATTTAACATTTGCTTAATGTGTGTATTCCACGCATGCCTACCATATCTTAATTTTCTTTGAATAAAGCCACTAAACTCACATTTTTTCAAATATCTTAAGTAATTTGTACGTATTAGGTATGTTGAGAGTTATTTCAAATTTATTTTTTGTTTGAAGACTGTAGGACTAATATTTGGAAATTATGATAATTTTACTTTTAATAAAAATAAATAAAATAACAATTTATGAATAATTTATTTTATAGTAATTCAATATTTAGTGATATTGAACATCGTTTTTACATAGTTACGCCGATTAAAAATTCACTGAAAATATAACTGATGGCTTTTGTGATGAATAAAACCAGACAGATTCAATATACCTATCATGGAAAATACTATTAATATAGGTAGATACACCATATTATGCCAATAGCTGTACAAAGTTTTAGATAAGAAAATAATGATTTCATCAAAGTCATTAGATCAATAATTCAAAAACTTCACAAAAATTACTTTTATTTATTAATTTGAGCACATAATAAATAACTGTATTTTATATGATACACATATTGTGAAGGAAATACGTTTCTGAAAAAAAAAAAAACAAACGGTTTATAAAACTAAACAAATTTGATAAAATATAAATGTAGTCATGATATAAATACCATACACATAAATGTGTACGGTTTACCCTATACTTCTGGGTACCGTATGTATCTATATTCTATATATATATATATATATATATATATTGTTATTGTATGCATTGTAATATCAAAACTTTGAAATATTAGTCGGTTGTTTGTTATTATATCCATTTCACATGTATATATTATACATACCACGAGTTTCTACAATACATCATACGCTTGATACAATGGTTTAAGTTTAAAATGATTATTTTATCGTAGAACATGTCTATAACCTTTAACTTAAATTTAGAACTTGACTGATAGTTGAAGTAGATTGGATTCATTCTCCTCCAATGTGTTATAATAGCATGTACATTATAATAGACGCTTACTCGGAGTTAATTTTCATGTTAATTCGTTTTTGTTTAAATAATAAATCAAATGTTGTAGACAGTCAAATTATGTATTTTTATGGCATAAATAGTTTTTGAGATTCTAAACACATTCAAACATCCACGCTTTTTCTAATATCAATCATGATTATAATTATCATACCAAAAATGTCGTAACTGAATGCGTAAAAATAGAATTGTTTTATAAAACTGTTTGTTTGAATCGTTTAGTAAATACAAGTATAATATGTATTATACATGAATAATTTATATTAAGTATACTGTATGTGTAATAGACAAAAATTATTAATGTTGTCGTTGAAAAAAAATATAATACATAATTAACATATTTTATCATGAGAATATTCCACTAATTTAAGGGTCTAGTTTCTTACAACTCCAGATTATTTGAAAATAAACTTTAGAGCTCAAGAAAAAAATTAATTTTATACATTCTAAACATAAGTAAAATCAAATTTACGTATATGCTAAACATTAGTTTTTATTTTAAATTAGATCTACAGAAATAAGAAATTGAATTTATAATCAAAAACAAAGTAATAATAAAAAAAAAAAAAAAAAAAAAAAAAATGTTTCTACAAAAAAAAAAAAAAGAGTTTAAACACTTGCTTGTGGTACACTTAGCATTAAATTTAAATATTTTTAGTGGTCTGCTTCCTCTTTCTCTATATTTCAGATTTGACTAACCTCAGTTCATTTATTTTAAACTTTTATACTGCCTATCACTAAATACAAATATTTCCTAAATAGTATGAAATAATAGTCTTAAAGATATGTGGTATCATTTAAATTGATTTTTCATTTAATCGTATGGAAACAAAATTAAACAAAATAAAAACTATTTTGGAAAAAATATACAATACTTATAATATGTTTTATTACTCATAAGTTATGAGTCATAACCTATACAAATTCATAAATAAAATTATAATTAGTTCAGAAATAAATACAAATATTTCTTTTGAATATTTTAGTATGAATAGTTATATGTTCATTTGATCTGCATTGTTAATTTTGCCCGGACTTATTAGTACGCTATTATTATTGAAAATTAAAAACATTTTTTTTTTTTTTTTTTAAACTATTGCTACTTTTATTTGATAGATGATGTAGATTAATATGTATTGTGGAAATTTAATTTGGGAACCACTATATGTTTTACGGTAAACTATGTTTATTAACTAAACTTTTAGTGAGTAAAATTGGAAGTTTGACAGTGATTAACATCGGTAAAATAATATTATTAACAAGGATTTTATTATCACTTTCATATTTTGGCGAAGAATAATAATGCACATATAATGCAATGAATCATTATTTAATGGAGTTAGGGGATGTTGTATGCTCACAATAGGGTATATTACGTATAAGAGTCCCTGAGAGGACGGGTTATTTTTTGTATGCCCTTCGTATCTAAAGTATGATACTATATTTTACAAATTATTCTAATTTGTACACATGCGTTGCTTTTATTTTATAAAATATTAGCTGGTCATTAATGATTATTTTTATGTTATTCAACGAATGTTTTAGCAAAAAAATAAAATATACATGTCTCAGTAGACACGGTTCTGATGAGGATTTTTTTTTCTTTTCTAAGGAAAATAAGTGAATAAAATAAACCTAAAAAATTTGAATATACTAATGTAGCAAAATATTTTACTGTTAAAAAAAAAAAAAAAATTGCATTTTCATTTGTACGAAATGACGAAATAGTATCACTGCTTGTTTAAATGACACCTACACGCAAATGTATCGAAATTGCCTATACGAATGCCGGTCGATGAATTTATACACAATGACGATATGTAGTCGTATAGTATACGTTTATATAATATAATGCATAAAATATATTTATTATTATAATGGTTGTTTACAAATGGTTATAAATAAAACTTCAATATAGTTAAATTAAACAATATTAATCAAAATTATAATATAAAATAATTAATAAGTACAAAATAGTAGTTATATTAATAGTATATTACAGAAATAAGCTTAAGTAAGTAAGAATTATTTAAGCTCAAAAAAAAATAAATAAAATATTTTAGCTATAAAAAAAATGTGGATGAGCTTACTTAAAAGATGGTTGCAACCATAATTATTAAAAAGAATGGTCACAATAATGATAATAATAATAAATGGTGTCTTATGAAACGGGAAGAAACTTTAAAATACAATTAAGAGAGCAAATATTATGATAAATCAATAGACCCGCTATATATCCACTTACGTATAAATATTAAATTCACGTTTATTGTCTATCCATCTATCGACTTAGAGCCGATATCAAGCTTATGCATGAATGGAAAGTATAAGGCAGTACTACAGTAGACATGTAGTTTATTGTGGTCAATTTTTTAGACGAAAAATATGGAATTCAGAAATCGTTTTTATAAAATCTCGATGTGGGAAAATTCAACAGCTGTAAAAAAAGTTCCATAGGTCTAATGTGTATTCTAAAAAAAATCTAACAAAATAACAGTAAATGGCCTTAAGTGAGGCAAAGAATGTATAAGCACATTGCATAGCCTAGGATTTCAGAGCTTAACAACAAATCACTTCAATAGCAGTGAAAGTTCAAACCTGAGATGAAGGTAAAACTTTTAATATTAGGAAATTCTAAACTTAAGCTTTTCATATGTGTATTTGATTGAAGGTCGAAATCTAGTAAAATATATAGAGTGACAGTTTTCTGTATTAAATTTTAATCCGATTTAATTGCATTATGATACGAATGAATTACATTCGTTTTGTAAAAATTCAAGATTATACTCATACAGTTGGTCATTAAAAATTATTAAATTAAAAGCATTTATTAATTATAAGAAGATAAAGTCGTGTTTATATCATAAATTAGTACTGAAAAAAACAAAAGGTATATCTTGCTAGTGAAATATTTGAAGTGATGTTAAAAACATAAGATTTATATCACAAAAGTTTCATTTGTTAACTGATTTTCGTATCGTCTCATTATTACATCAATATATTGTTTGTTAAAATTAAAAAAAATTATATATTTTATATATTATATAGATATAATATAATGACATTGAAAATGAAAAGTATCTAAAAAAAGGTGGGTAATTATTATCTTCAAACTAACTTTATATGCTTCACCCTCTATACTACGGGTGCAAATTTTATATTGAAGTTGCTATTCATGGTTATAGACGTTATAGTGATCATAATTTAATATCGATTTATTAGCTTTCTTAAAACCACTTTTGTTTTCAAATTTGTATACCTACGGATATAAGAGTTTCTTATATATAAAAGATGTTGGAATGATTGTTGTGTTCTAGATTATAATATTCATTGATCACATTATGATAAGAAAATGAAATATATTTTTTATTATAATAAATTATATTTAGCCGATTAATTGTATTCATAGGTAGTGTTCAATTTCCAAAATGCCCATGCATTATATATAATATAATTATATAACATCATATTATGTGATAGTATACAATGTATGCATATAAATGTTATTCTGTAGTAATGCTTAATAAATTCTAGGCATAACATGTGTATAATATATTATAATTTATTAAGCTAGAGATAAAACTTTTGTGAGTCACGTGAATACAAGAAAATCACAATCTCTATAAAAATTTTGGCTACAACAAGTACGATTTTTAGTTTGTAAATATTGAATGGACGCCCGTTGTCTGACCACAATTTTTCCATGCAAAACAGACTCTATAATATAATAGACACTAAATGAACATAGT